TCCTATGCACAGGAAAATGAGGGGAGTTGACTTTATATAGAAATTCTTAACAATTCCAAATTTTGTATTAAAATTTATTAAAAATTAAGTTAATTACAGTGTCTGGAAGAGAATTGCTTCCATCTTTACTTAGAAAATTATGGGAGAAGATTACTCATACTGCAGAACTAACATTAACCTAAGAGTAAAAGCTTACACAAGTGAGCAAATGCATTCAAGGGAGTTTAAAGAGGAGAGGTGGAGGAGACTTTGAGAACAAAAGTATAGAGGCCCAGATGTCTTCCTACTGCTGTGGTTAGAACAACAGCAGACTGATACGTAGCAGAAAGGTTTAGATATTTCTATATCTCTGTTCACAGTGGAAAATGAAACTTTAAGATTTTCAAGCTGTATAAAATGGGTTATCAGTTGTTGACTGCTACATGAGGAGAACTTTTTCTCATGGACTTGTGTGTGTTTAAGTACATACAAGCTTTCCGTAAAAGATAATTTAATAGAGAATTTTGTAAAATTATTTCGTGATGCTTCTGCTGAGCCATTCAGAGGAAAATAAAGGGCTGCTTGACAATTACTTCAGCTTAGGATCTGGTGCAGCGTTGGCTGCTGGTGAAAGCCATCAATAAAGCAAATGGAAAGGGACTAGAATTTTCAGATAAAAAAATGCAAGTGTAGAAGACTCTGAAAACTATGGGCTGCCCTCTTTCATATTTTTAATAGCATACTTCACAAGGAAGGATTTGCTCCTGGTGGAGTTTCTCTATCTATGGAATATACTTGACAGCTGGAAAAAGAACAGTACTGCATTGCTGACATCTTGACAGCAGTCAAATGGAAATAGTGATCAATATTTATGAATTTAACATTCATCCAAACCCAGGCAAAATCTCTGTTGGACAGGTGAAGGTCTTAGGATTTTCTGAAAGCAACTTGAAAGTTCTTTTTATGGTAGAGAAGATGAAAGATGAGCTGCTTGGGATGTTTAGAGATCTGGGATTAAGCATCAAATCATACTTTTAGGTAGTAATACTTGGTAAGGTTTCTTATCCACTACAAATCTCTAATAGCTACCTCCTATGACATTCTTGCTCTATTTATAATAACCAAGCACTTTATAGCTCAGTAAAGAATGGAAGGTAGCTATGAACAATAAATTGCATTGTTTGGTATAAGAAATATTTCGGCAAAATTTCTTCTGAGATCAGTTTCATTGTGTGATGCCCTCCACTGAGAGGGCACCTGATTATGATGATGTATACAAATTTTTAATCTAGTTGTAAAGGAAATGTCTTTATAACAGAGTGTATGATGAAGAGTTCAGCATGGTTTGGTATCAACCATGTAATGATTCAGTGTGCTATTTATAACTTCCTACTTATTGAAATTGAAAATATAAAAGCAAATAAAATATTCTGTAGTGTATCTTTATTTGTAGTCTATGCGTGGGATGTCAAACATTGTACTTGTCTTGTGGACAGGACATGCTTTTATGAGCCTATAAATATTTAAGTATGTGAGAATCTGCACCCAGGTGGAACACGTTGCATGTAAATTGTCTTTTAAGTTTTTAAACTTCAGTATTTTAAAAAATTTGTTAGGTTTGAAAGCAACATTTAAATATTAATACTAAGCTGTAATACAGAACATAACATTTTGAATGCAATGTGGGATATATTGGGTTTGTTTATTGTAACTCTATTTCAGTTTCACAAGAGAAATCCATCATATGATGGGGGAAAGGAGGAAGAGGGCTAATCGTGAGCTCGGCTATATAATTTGCACACTTAGTATGCACACATCTAAATATCCTGGATTTGTTTCTAGCACCAAACAGTGTTTTCTTTAATATCTACAGATACCTATGTATGTAGAATAATTTAACACATAAGCACAGCTAACCTGATATAAAACCAAATTACTAAACTGTTGGGAACAAATGAGTTACAAGTTAGGCATAAGTAATGGAGCCTGTGATTCAAAAATGTTTATGTAATCTGTCTAAGAAGAAATTTGATGAATATATCTAACTTATGTGCAAAGCAAGGATGAAAATTGTAAATTCTGCTAGACTGATTTCTGGTAAATCTTGACAATCTGGTTTGCAGTAAATACTAATCTGTCACAAAATGTGAGGATCACATTATTAAATTCAAATAGTAATTGTGATGTGATTGTAGTAGCAATCCTTATCTCGGCACAAGAATTTAAAAATGCAATATAACAATTCTGTGGATTGGTGATAAAAGTAGTTGTAGTAAGGCGAATGAATAAGTATTATGGGTTTAAATTTACTTTTTATGATAAAAAAAATCTGAATTATTTGTTTGCATTTCAGTGATATTGTAAAGCATTTCTATATTTTGTTTGAACAGTTTAGGAGCTTACATAAAATGATACTGGCTGATTTTTTTTTTTCCCCTTTGATATATGCAATAATGTCAATAAGCAATAAATTGCATGTATGCAAGGTATCGGTACTTCATAATAAAGGAAAGGAACACAGTTTCTTATTTTGTGAATTTTTCTTTCTTAATGTGGTAGTTGGTTATGTACCTCTAATGAATGCATCATGAAAGAACAATTTTCTTGGGGTTTAGTTCAGAAACAACTGGCTTATATGGTATCTTGACATTTCATGGTGTATATTTTTTTGTTTAAAAAAAAGGTGGGGAGGGAGTATGAGGTCTGAGCCACACTGTTGTTCAGGTGGCTGGACTTTCAAAGTCTAAAATTCTATGTGGGACATCACGGTGGCCAGGAATGTAACAAACTATAAATTTTGTTGTGTATTAAGGAAAAAACTTATATTGGACAGTATAATTGTATTGCACTGTTGTAATGCCACGTGTTTCAGGACAGAAGTGGGACAGTTGTCTGAAGGCTCTAGGGATAAGAGCTACTGTTGTCAGCACATCATAAATGTGATGTGCTACACAGTCCCTTACTGAATGCTAAGACCGGCAATTAAGTTCCTTAACAGGGCAATTCCTAGATTCTGTACGTGCAGGGAACACATGCCTAGGAAGCATGAATTGTGTGGCAAAGCTCAGAGGTTTCTCTGAGCATCCTCAGAGGTGCTGCTGTTTTGTCTTCACTCTGGGCTTCCAAGCACAGGAATTGCTCGTGTTTTGTTTGAGTTTTCTTTCGTGTTATGCAATGGTTAAATTACTAGAAGAAAACAAAAAGCATTCCAGTGGTTTTCACTTTTTTCCTCTCAGCTTTTAAGGGGTATTTAGTTCCATTTGTAAATGATATTCTAGGGTACTAATACTACACTGTTAACTAGTCGGTCTGCTTGGAAGTGACTGGGAATGTCTGGAAACGTTATTTGGGGTCAGATGCTATGTAGGTCAGATTCCCCAGCTGCTTGGGGAAGGATAATGGGGGCTTGGTGGGAGGCTTTTGTCTTGGCACTGGGGCAGCTTTTAACACTGACTGGTGGAAAGGAAGGACTAAGCATGGCAGGGAACAAGGGAAGCCTTTCAGCGAGCCGTTCGTAACCTGACAAATTCAACAAATCTTGCTGCAAGTGTGAGAAACATACCTCTCCCTAAGATGTAGGATATAGAACGTATTTTGTGTATCTACTTCTTTGTCATGCTCTGGTGCAAAGTTGCTCTTCGTTGTCTCCCAGTTGTTTTTTTTTTTTAAAATTACTCTTTGTGTTCTTGCTGAAAATTTTGTTTTCTGTACTTGTATTGGTGTGATATTTCTGCATTAGGGCAGTTTTAATTTTTTTTTTTATTTAATCGTCACAGTGGATAGCTGTCATTTTTTAGATGGTGGACGACCACTGTATCTCCCTGTTTTGCTCTGTTTTTCTGGAGTTCACAGCGTAATGTACCTAAGGGTAGATTGTGTGCTTCGGTGAGATTGTGACCTTGCTGCTCTTTGCTTCACATTGAGGAAAAAGTATGTGTTACTTGGCTTGTCTTATAGAGGGTATTACCTTTAAAATGACTAATAAGTAGTGCAATTGGTGCTGCTGGTGGAGTGTGCTGGTAGAAAGCAGGGAGACAGCGTACTGACATCAGCAACATACCGTACTTTGAGAGGAGGGCGCACAACCAATTCCCCGTTTGGAACATCAGGGAGAGAAAATGTGTTTAAAGTTGCTCTGCCGCCGAGTTGGAATATCTGGAAGCAGAGACGTCAGTTGGTCTGCGGGAGGCTCTTACTATTGAACTGCGTTGTCATGTGCAGCAAGGGACGACTAAAATGATTGTACCTTGTTTAGTGCTGCTGACACAGCTGCTACTGTGGATGCAGTCGTAGGGATTTCAGCAAAGCCAAATTTGCCAAAAACGGGGGCAGCGACAGAGGCGAGCACGATGTTTTCTATGGCTCGTAACAGAGACCCAGTTACTGGCATGGTGCTGCTTTCCTGCCTCCCGGTTCTCCGTGTGCGGTGCTGGCGATTCCTGCATGCAGAAGGGGCAGGGAACAATCTCCTCCTCGATAATGAAGCCTGTAAAAGGGCAGAAAGGAGCGAAAGGAGGAGGGCGTTTGATGTTCCTGCATACCTGCATTTTTGTTCTGTGTTCACACTGAAGGGCAGTGCCCTCATCTGTAAGAAAGATCCTGTTTTGAGGGATGGTGTGTGGACATCTTAAAATGTTGAAATGAAAATGTGAACACGTTCCAGCCTTGAAGGAACGTGTGAGAGCAGTGTTTTAATTCAGGTGGTTACGTGATTTGAAACAGTGCTTGTCAGAGCTGCCTCGGCGCGGTTTAGAACTTGTGTCTCTTCATCTTTCTGGTCTTTTTCAGAAGACGCGGGAGGGAATCACTCGTTTCTTCCCTTACACCAAAATACAGGCAGAGGGTGCAAGAGGCCCCTCTTCCAGAGTAGAATTTGGTTTTTCGTCATTCGACGCTGGCGTAATAACAGGGCCGCGTGAGGCTTAAAGCCCTTCCTGCTTCATTTTTAATTGCTCCGAAGAAATCGGGTGTTTCAAAGAAATAACCGGGCTTTGATCAGTTCTCTTTGTTACGCATTTACGATGAGTGTTCGCCTCGCGTCTCCCTCGCCGGCCCGCTGCGAGTCGCGGTGCGGGACGTTCCCGCGGGCTTTGGTCCCGCCGTGGCGGCCGCTGGTGCGCG